AGGAAGGAAGGAAGGAAGGAAGGAAGGAAGGAAGGAAGGAAGGAAGGATTGTGAGAATGGCCTACGTATCAGAGGAATAATTAGTATATTATACAGAAGCTCAAGTATTGTAAGGATGCAGTCTTATTACTGAAACTAAATCTGGTTCTGAACAGATGTAAGTACCATATGTAAGCCTCTTGAGCTCTATGGGAAGAAGATAAAGAACCTAGTATGGTAGTGTATTAAAAATAAATAATTAGGACAGGACTAAAAGCAATATGTCAAAGCTGCTCAAATGGGTTATGCCTTTTTGCATTCCATACACTCTAAAAGTATCAGTATTTTTCTGTAAACATTCAGCTAGATCTGGAAATCCCAGTCTCAGCAATGCCCCCCATATCATACGTTTGAATGAGGACAATCCAGTTTTCTCTACAAAAGGACCCACTCTTCAGGGAAGGAGTTTATCCCTAGTAAACAGGGTGATAGAAATTCACATTTGGGCAATTCTGTTCCATGTAGAATTTTTATAAAATACCTAAACTGTCGTATGAACAGATGCCAATTCAGAACTGGTGTGATGATTTTAAAAAGCACTTATTTATTACCACTACCTGTGAAAAGATAATGGCCACTATGACATGGAAAGAGTCTCCAAACCAGCCTCGAAAGATAGGGTCTAGCAGCAATATTTAGTGCCGATAGGGGAACTCTTTAAGACCAAGTCATGTTATCACAGACTTACCTAACTGATCATAGGAGTACATGATATCCAAGCCAGCCCTCAGTCTTAGCTTATAACACTTGTGTAAAGAAATTTATTAATAATCTCTCTCTTTAGCTTGTGAAAGAGATTTTTCCATAGATTCTGAGACTTACCCACTCACAGTCAATTCCAAGGACTGGATAACATTCCAACTCTTTCATTAATATGGGTTCCACTTCATTCCACTTCCCTACCTCGGAAACAATTATTACTTTTGCCTCAAGGATCTCCTCCAGCCAACAAATTGTGGGACAAGGTAAAAATGAACGAAAAATGTCTTCTGAGATATCTTTCTTTTCCTGCTCGTTAACATCTCCTTCTTGGTTTGGTGTAATGCAAGTTTTATGTTTTCGACGTTGGATGACCCTCCAGACAGCTAGACTTCCTGCTGCAATGCCAAACAGGGTAGCCACAGTAACAGTGACTGCTGTTGGTCTGGGCATGTTTTCATCATCCTTTCTTCTCCATATTTGCAAAAATGGTAATACACAGTGATCTAGTAACATGGAATAACATTAATTAAAAAAAATAAAGCAAAATTGTGGAGAAAAATTAATAAGTTTGAAGAACCCACTCACCTGAAATAAGTCCGCCTATGTTTTTGTCTAAGTTATGCTAAACTATGTTTTATTCAATAAATTAAGCCAAACTAAGCAAGCAACATTAACAAATTATCAGGTGTGGGCTCAAACATTGGGACATTTCTGAATACATACATGAAAAATCAATTTATAAATTGATCTCCTTCAAATAGGCTTCAAATGTCACACAGAATTGGAAGAAATGCATGTTCAGATAGTATCAAAGAGGTAAATCAATAGATGTGTCTTAGAAATATTGGTGAAGTGAACAAGGTGAAGCCCCTTAGGCCCCAATTATCAATGCTACTCAGGATCTAATATGAAATATGAGTGTTGCCAAATTGCCTGGAAATAGCAGTAGTAAGAATATTCAGTGTAGTGAATATGAAGATGTAAAATTGCCAAGGTAGTCTAACAGAGTCCCCATTTAATTCACAGGAAGTTCCTTTTTTTTCTCCAAAAAATGGTTTAGAAGGAATTTGAAACAGATGTCACTTCACTCCAGAATGAAACTGTACGCTGTATATTGCCCGTTAATTCCCAGTGATAGTTACTATACAGTGTCAAAAGCTTACAAAGATTTCCCTCAGTAAACAAATACCTTGCCCAAATGCGGAAGAAAAAGGAATCCAAGCATTCAGAACAAAAATACAGTCACTTAAAGAAAGGATTGTCAGATCCAGGACTTGCAATTTTCTGCCATCTTCCTGTCAGCCTTACCAGGTATACCAGACAGAAAACACAACCAGATGTGTTAATTCTACTTTATTGTAAGACTATATTAAAAGAATCTTGCAAGTCTGAAAGTACAAGCCTCCCACTGTCTCCTTTATAGCTCGAGAAACTTGAAAAGGTCACTTCTGAGCCTCTTGCCCCATTAACCATCTGCAGAATACACCCTCTTTTATAAGACCATTCCGTAAACAGCATCTCTTCTCCCTGACTCCCAAGGGTTTTTTTTTACACTTCCTCATTGACTTTGTTGGAAGCCAGCAGGAAGTTGCAAGTCATGGCCACATGAGATCCTCAGTTAATGACCTGAAATTCTCACTTAATGGCAGAACAGGAACTGCTGGGATTGCCATCACTAAATGATGCAGTCACATGGCACTGTGTTTTACCACTGCATCATTTAGTGACAAGATTCTATTTTTTTTTTAATTTGATTTGTCAATCGTTTACAAGGTAATAGGTATAAGTATATACATAGTTATAAATACATGAAATGGGTACATATAAGAAAAATAAAAGAAACAATAGGACAGGGAGGGTAGGCACGTTGGTGCGCTTATGCACACCCGCTACAGACCACTTAGGAAAGGGGTGAGGTCAATAGTAGACAGTCTAAGATTAAAGTTTTGGGGGTTTGGGGAAGAAACCACAGAGTCAGGTAGAGTATTCCAGACATTGACCACTCTGTTGCTGAAGTCATATTTCCTGCAATCAAGTTTGGTGCAATTAACCTTGAGTTTGTATCTATTGTTTGCTCTTGTATTGTTATGGTTGAAGCTGAAGTATTCATTGACAGGTAGGACATTGCAATGTATGATTTTATATACCATACTTAGATCAGATCGGAGATGGCGTAATTCAAACACTGCTATGGGGGACACCACTATTGATAGGTACAGAATTTGATATGACACTCCCAGTTTTGACCATTTATTGTCTGTTTGACAGGAATGCTTCTATCCAGTTATGCAGGAGTCCAGAGATACCGTAAGATTTTAGTCTTAGGAATAGTTTGTCGTGTACCATTGAATCAAAGGCTTTACAGAAGTCTATGTAGATTGCGTCTATTGCTTTGCCCTGATCGAGTTGTGTAGTCCATATGTTTTTGCAGTGTAAGAGTTGCAGATTACAGGATAGCTTTTTCCTGAAACCAAATTGTTTATTGGAGAGTAGGTTGTTTGTCTCTAAGTGGAGGATAATGGATTGGTTAATAATTGATTCCATGACTTTACAGGTGACACAGCATAAGGAGATTGGTCTGTAATTTTCAACTCGGCTAGGGTCTCCCTTTTTGAAGATGGGGATGACCGTGGCTTGTGACCATAAGGTTAGGCAAGGAGCTGGTCCTGAAAGGTTTTTCAAAGATTATGCTTAGAGGTTTGGCTATGCCAGTGGATAGCTTTTTTAAGAAGTAGGCACATATTCCATCCGGTCCAATAGATAGAGATGGTTTTAGATTGCGAAGTGCTTTTTCAACATTGTCTTCTGTAAAATCGATATGTATTAGATCATTGTAGTTGTCTGTGGTTCGGCTAGGAAAAACTGGGCATGATCCATTGCTGTTTACAAATACTGAGCCAAAGAATGTGTTAAAGATGTTGGCTTTAATGGTGTCATCGTTGCAGTCTTTACCATTGGGTCCTATCAGGGCTGGGATGGACCTTGACTCTTTTAGTTTGTTGTTTACAAAATTGTAAAAAGCGCGGGTGGAATTGGTGCATAGAAGGTTTTCCTCTTGTTTAATGTGATAATTGGTGCATTCAGTCTTTATCTGGTGGCATAAATTTTTGTATCGGCTTTTGAAATTGGCAACGTGACCAGATTTGTTTTTCTGATCCTAATTGCCATTCTGTCCCAAAATCTGTTTCAACAACAGTGCGGTTGGAAATTGGAGACAGCTTGACCTGTTGCAACTTGACCTGGTAATGGCTTCTTAAGAGGGGACAGACTGCTGTTTTTTTTCAGAGGTAGCAAAACCACCTTGTCCCTCAAGAATTTATATATAATCTCCTTGGGAGGCCTTGACCAATCAGAAGGGACAGACCTATGGATTAGCATACACCCAAAGCCCACAGACACAATACAGTTAGAATAGTTGTTTTATTACAGACAAAAAAGAAACTATATATACAAGGTTCTACTTCCTTCAGAATGCAGCAGTCTAAACCAATATACAGAGATTTAAGTTTGATACTTTTTCTTCCCCGCTTTCTAAGTGAAAGGATATTTGCTTGGTCTTTCCAAACCTTTGAAAGCATTTTCTATGTAATAGTCCTCTCTAGAAAGAGAGGACTGTTTCGTCTCATCAGCTCTCATGGAGGGATCTCTCCAAATTACTGAGCATGCTATTCAATATAAGCTGTGAAATATTACAGATCATATTACAAATATTACAAAACTCTCAAAAAGACCAGTCTTGTTAAGGGATAGGACAGGCAGTAGTATTTTGTTGCTGGTCACATTTTCTGTTTCAGTGGATTTATTCCTCAACTGCATTAACATAAACAGAATTACTTAAAATTTATAGTGGTACAACTACAGTAAAATATACAGACTGTTCCCTAAAATATTTTTTTCTTCATACCAGGAAAAAGGCATATGATTTATTACAGAGGAAACATTCATCAAGCTTTCTGCACACCTAGCTGCTTTCTTAAAACTCTATAAATAAAAAATAAAGAAGAAAACTGGCATACTGCAAACAACCCCAGCTTCTGACATTATTTACAGCACCATCTTTCAATCCATGCTGGTAAGAATTATGGAAATTACAAACCCAACACAAATATAGACTGACATAGGATCTGATGCAGTTGTGACACAAGGTGTCAGTAAATCTTGTTTTAAATTCATATCTTGGACTGAAATGTGCAACATAATTTTGTATACAATGTGCGAGCTATGGCAATGCCTGAATGAGTGATTAACAACACTTTTACATGTACATTTTTATGGTCTCACAGGAAAGGCAAGTGTAATAAGCACACTTTGCAAACTTTTTTTCTGCTCCCATTTGTGTGCAGATTCAATGAGCAAAAAATGAATACAGTCTCCCTCCCCTTCCCATGCAGCAGAATAAATATTTAGAAATATAAAAAGTAATTGTTAAGACATACTTTTTATATTTCTAAATATTTATTTATTCTTAGAAATTTGCTCCACATTTGATCAATATGCTTCATCATTAAGATTTCTTGATCATCAACAGTATTATTGAGGCATAAGATGACCCATTTCAATGTCAAACATTAAAAATGTACAAGTAAAACAAACCACAGTAGTCTTTGCAACCACTTTTCAGCCTTGATATATAACTTATTTGGAACTTTAAAATTTATACAAAAGGCAGAATTTTACTTTTATGTGTTCAGTTCTTGTAACACTCTCCCTTACAAATACATCTACATAGCAGATTGGCAGTAGTAATGAAGATTTTTCACTGGGAGCGACTACTGCCTCCAAAATACTGAATAATTTCCATTATCCTCAGCATTGTTGTGAAGTGAGCCACATTAGAGAACCAAAGCAAAGTAATAACATCTTTGGATGACAACATGTTCCTATTTTCATCAACAGGGGAAATACCGCGAGAGATTCCACAAAAAGCAGTTTCTCCATCTTGTAAACTTCACTAGAATAAAGTCCATTATATATCTGGAAGCTTTATATTAACACCTTTAGAAAAGGGCTTCAAACAGAAAACAAAAAGATCCAATAATTGCTAAACTGTACTGCCTTATAATCACAATCCCGGAAGAGGGGAGACTATTACCCATACCTAAAGAAAAAGAAATCATACATCCAGCATATCTTGCCTACAGTCCTCAAGCTAATAATAATTCCCAACCTCCTCTGACGGCGCCTTTATCAATAAAAAGCGCTTACCTGTTTCAGCAGCGAAAGGGAAAAAAACCCTAGTCGTTGGCACAGCAAGACTTCCGGGCTTCCCTTCAGAGCGGAACGTACAAGTGTATTGTCATACAAGCGCTTCAGGGCGCTGCCATGTTGTACGGCAATTGTGGCTCAGTTCGATTTGTTTGGGCTTCTGTTTTCTGAAACGGTGGCCTCGAACGTTAATTAAAATCACTCCTGCTACACTAAAGCTTAAAAAAAAAATACCCGGTACTGTGTGGCATGTACCTTTTCGTTTTCTTGCGAGGTACCCAAATTGTTTGACATAGGTTTTGAACTGTTAATTGAAGCAATTAATTAATCTGCACGGTAGCATCCCTTAATTTACCGGTGACTTGGGAATTTGCTGCAAAAAGGGAAGCTCTTCCTAGTGCCGCTTGATTCTATACATATTTACTCGGAAACAAATAACACCGAGTTCAAAGCAAATGTTGCAGTGCTGTTTGTGCTTGGAGCTGAAGACTCGGCAGCCCCTGAGAGCAAGTATTGCTTTAGCTTGACCAGAAAATTACGGAACAAGTTATTACTTTCCCCCCCACATTTTCTTGAACGCGAATCTGATTCCCGGACTAATTATTAGGCTGCATTATTGCTGAGGACTTCATTACATAATTTACTCCGTCACCATCTGGTGTCTTCTGAACAGTTTAACTACAATTTCCATAATTCCCAACTAGTACAGCAAGAGCATCTTCCTCTGTAGGTTATCAGATTCAATAATTTCTAAAACGTCTACTGAACACTTTCAGAATGTATTACTGTATTTGGTAAGAGTTAAGTGTTTATTTTATTTATTTTATCAAAAGCTTACAATACAATAGAAATAAGAATAAACATAAGTTTAAATATAAGAAATAAGAATTAATAATTGGGGACAATAGGACAGGGATGGTAGGCACGATTGTGCACTTATGCACGCTCCTTACAGACCTCTTAAGGAATGGGGTGAGGTCAATCGAGGTTAGTTTGAGGATAAAGGAGTGGGGGTTTGAGCAGGTGACAACAGAATCAGCTAGTAAGTTCCAGACATTGATCACTCTGTTGCTGAAATCATACTTCCTGCAATCAAGTTTGGAGTGGTTTACATTGCTTGTATCTGTTGTGTGCTCTTGTATTGTTGTGGTTGAAGCTGAAGTATTCACTGACTGGTAAGATGTTGTAACATATGATTTTATGTACTACGCTTAAGTCCGATCTTAGCTGGCATAGTTCAAGGTTATTTAAGCTTAGAATCTCAAGTCCGGTGGTGTAGGGCAGTGGCCCCCAACCTTTTTTGTGCCACAGCCCGGTACCAGCATCACAAAATGATCCACATCCCGGTACCAGCATCATTACGCATGGCAAGGCGGCCAGCCAGCCGTCCCCCGTCAACTCCTCCTTTGTACCTTTGTCGATGGGCTTCGGGATGGCTTCAGGACGGTCGCTCGGCTCACCTTGCCTTGGGTGCTGAAAGAATCCTCGCACCTTAGTTTTGTTCGAAGCTGCCCCCCCACTTCGGTGAAACTAAGGTGCAAGGATTCCTTCAGGACCCAAACGCCGCTTTCCAACCGGAAAAGCTCACCAGAAGCACTTTCTCATCAAAACAAGATGGCGGCGCCCAGCAAACCGGGGGCCCGGTAGAAAATGTTCCACGGCCCGGTACCGGTCCGCAGCCCGGTGGTTGGGGACCCCTGGTGTAGGGTATTCTGTTGCAAACAGAGGAATGTAGTACTCTTCTGGTACTACAATTAGCTTTATCTGCTGTTCTCCCAGAAAATCATTATAAAGATTATTCCCATGTCCCTTCACTTGGTGCTCTGAAAAGGGGAGAGTGCCTTCTGGTTAAGTGCAGTATAGGGAGTCCTCAACATACAACAGTTTATTTAGTGACCGTTCAAAGTTACAACAGCACTGAAAAAAGTGACTTATGAATGTTTTTCACACTTATGACCATTGCAATATTCCCCATGATCATGTGATCAAAATTCAGATCTTGGCAACTTCATATTTATGACAGTTGCAGAGTCCCAGGATCATGTGATCCCCTTTTGCGACCTTCTGACAAGCAAAGTCAATGGGGAAGCCAGATTCACTTAACAACCAGGTTATTAACATCAACTGCAGTGATTCACTTAACAACTGGGGCAAGAAAGATCGTAAAATGGGACAAAACTTGCTTAACAAATGTCTTATTGAGTAACAGAAATTTTGGGCTCAATTGTGGTTGTAAATCAACTATCTGTATGGGGCAGTTGGGCAAAGAATTCATTAGAGCTAAATTTGTACAATTAAGGAATAACATATTGATATCAAAGGCAATTATAGAGTCCATTATGAAATTCACAAAGCATTTGCCCAGATTCAGTTGCCACTTGGAAGTAGAGGAAGGAGAAAATTAACAATAACAAAATTGACTATGGCAAGAGAGAGAGAGAGAGAGAGAGTCCTTACAATATGAAGAGCAAACCTGATTTTGCCAGGGGCGATAAACAAACATGAAAGTTGCTGTGATCACAGCAGAAGGCAAACACTATTAAATAGAAAAAACTTTTTTTCTTCATGATATAACTATTGCAAGCAAATTCAGCAAATGGTCATTTCTTTTAGCAACTTACCATGCCACCTGGGTAACAGTTGGCATGAGTTCGTTTTAATAAAGTTCATTTTAACCAAATCTCATTACCACATAGGAAAAAAATAACCAAATGTTAGATGGGGAGATTTTTTACTTTACATAATAATCCCTTCACTTAGGTAAATAAGTTTGTTGGATATCTTTTAATATTTGATTAATATTTATAAACATATATAAATTAATAAAATCCCAAACTATAAATAGTTTTGATTTCAATTCTACAACTTGTACATTGGTAATACCTTCGATCTAAAACTCAAAAGTGCTTTTTATGTAGTTCAGAACCTGGTTTCCTAACCTAAGATATTGGATGACCTATCATAAGTTACGTTTGCATAATAAACTAGGCTATAATACAGTGGACAAATTAATTATATGATGTATTAATATGAACATATTTCAATATTTTGGTATGGTTTGTTTTTGGCCAACTGAACATAATTGTGAGTTGTCTGAAGATACATAATTGGATTAATTCAAAAAGCTGTAGTTTAGGCAAATTATGGAATCAGGTGTCTGGTACAGCCAAAAGTAGCATGTCTCTGTAACTCTTTCAATCCTCTTTCTGGCTTTACAAAAATTAGGCAATATTTCTTTAGTTGGCAGACACATTTTATAAAAATAGTCTTTGAGGATCACTAAGAATGTGGAATGATATTGTAATATCAGCAGAGAGGTTGGTACTGGGTTTTTATTTTTGGCTCCAGGAAACACTTTTTAAGTAACATGCTCTATTGGAGAGTTAACATGTTTGTTTTCTTATTTTCTTTTTTTTTAAAAAACCTAAAATAAGTGACTAAATGTTGGTGGTTTGTCATTGAATTTTTGACAGTGCAACCTGGGTTAACTGTAAGACTCATTTAAAAAAAATTTGTGACAACAGACACTATGTCTATGGAGATTTTCAGTGATCCAAGTCATGGTTGTTGCAAAGGTGCTTTTTAAAAGAGCCAACTGGACTTACAACAGATAACAGATAATCAGAGTTGGAAGGGACTTTGTAGGTCATCTAGTCCAACCCCCCACCCAAGCGGGAGACCCTACACCATATTTCTGACAAATGACTTTCTTTGTTTTTCATTGAAGATGTTTCACTTCTCATCCAAGAAGCTTCTTCAGATCGTCAGAAGCTTTTTTGGATGAGAAGCAAAACATTTTCAAGGAAAAACAATCAGCTGCCTCTTCAAAAAAGCACCTTTGGGATATTGAAACTATAACTGTTAATCTGGATATTCTGGGCAGAGTGGAGTTTATCAATATTAGTATATTAAATCCATTAACATATTAGTATTTTACTTTTTCTATTCAAAAGCACTCAAAATATACTTCCTGGAAAAGGAGTTCCAGAAAGACATGCTGAGGGGTGTTTGTTTGATTCCTCAGGCATTAATGTATTGTCTTCTACAAAGTTTTATTTTGTATGCAAGAATCTAGCTAATCTCAAAATACAATATAAGAACAACTAAGCAGAGCTGCAGACTAGTCTTGCAAATAAAAAAAAACATCCAGGCAAGAATGGCCTTCTCATTTATCATATGTTACACAACAGGCAAACTAGATCACTAAAGAATGTTTTTTAAGAGTCATACAGTAATGTTGGCAAACAGATTGATTACCATCATCAGCCAAGGTCCAATGTGAAGGTAATAGTATAACTTCCAAGGAAGTAGTCCCTAACTATATTTTTTACATTTTTCCTTTGGTTTTTGTTTATTTTTTCTTTATTATTTCATAACTTATATTTCTATATATTTGTTCTGATTTTTTGTATTTAAATAACAGGCTAAAAACATTTTAAAAGAAACATATTTTGACATTTCAGATTGCTTGATTGGAGCTGGAAACCAGGCTTATAACTTCCATATTGAAACAGCTTACTTCAATGTCTTCTTGATTCAGTTCAAAGTGTTGATTGTGCCTTTTCAACATCGATCACATTCCTTGTTTTCTGAGTTAATAAATGGCATATCCCACTGATATTTGAGGAAGAGGATAAAGACTCTTTTTATTGCTGCCTTTGTGAGGAGTCTTCACTTGTGCAGCCCAACAAAGCATCATGGGTCAATATAGTGAAAATATTAGAAATATTTTAATTAATATTCATATGGTGTTCATTATTGCCATACAAAGGCTGGATTCATATAATACACTTCACTTGGTTGCTGAATTAAATCATATTCTGAATTCACATAATACAGTGAATCATAATATCAGACTGATATTATGCACAACTCCATGCCAAAAAATCTGTCGAAGTAAAAGTAACCCATATGACATGTTGTATGAAAGATTAAATACTGCAAATGGTCTGTTACAGTATATCTCCGTACTAGATCACATTCTGGTTTTTTTTATCTTGGATAAAATTGAGGTTTAGGTGTCAGGTGTGTTAAGCTTATACATT